AGCGTCACCCAGACAGAAGTTTTTTGTTTTATTCCCTCCCAGAAAAAAAAAAAAAATATATATATATATATATATATATATATATATATATATACTACTTGTGCTCAAATAAGGATAGAAGACCAAAAAACTCATTCAGAGCTAAAACACAAGCATGACCTTCCATGTTTAGCTTCGAATTCACCCCACTCTACCTGGGCTTACCTGAGGTGACGATTCAGGAGCAGAGGAGCGTTTGTGAAGACTGTCCAATGTTAAAAGTGCCTTTTCTTTTTTACCTGAATAAGTACTGTCAGCTCCTCCTCTTTGTTTGGGGTAGAAACATTTGTATGTGCACAGCCGCGTTGTGAGTGGGTCATGACTGCTGGCCTGACGTGTGCACAGTATGCATCGAAGGGCAGTTGAAGTATTATTCCACAAACAATCAGCAAGTGTTCAACATTGACAAGTTTTAAGAAAAAATGACACAATGAAACGAATGTGTTGGTGACCTAGAGTGTCAGCATCACATTCAGCTGCAAATCCTTTAAGTTACGCCAACCTGAAGTAGACTTTATCGTCTCTGTCCTTGTCTTATGTTCTACTACACCCTGAAATCTCATTCATTTATTTACTTCAAACACGTTTTTGAAATAAATTTGTCCACGAATAAAAAGCGCAGGATGTGTAAACAGTTGGCGAATCCTTGATTATTATATTTTTGCTGTCCAGTTAGTTCAAACAAGACAAACACCATCCGGCTCATCTATCACTGAACCTGCGGAGGTTCAGCTGATCCTCGTCGTTGTTTTAATGGCTCACTATAACACATATTCAGATGATGAAGTCACCTAACCTGTCTAGGGAGTTATCCTATTTCAACATCAGTCAGTATTTGGTTCACAGAATAAGAATGTAATTTATAGTCATATTCTTGTGTTTCATCTTCAGTGAGATTGTTTCATGTAAAAGCAACACAAAGACACAAGGGAGAGAGTTTGTGTTGTACGGCGTGTTTTTCCACTCCTTCTTTCTCTTCCCTTCCTCCACAGGTACTATTGTTTCCATTTTGGTCTCTGGGGCTCCGTCAGGTATCCAGGTGTCACCCAGCGCCCTTCTCCCTGTAGATTAACTTTCACTCTGCTGGTCTGGTGCGGGGCAGACATTTTCCTTTTAACTACTTGAACAGGAGAGAGCGTTTATTTTTTTCTTCCTACAAAAATTGTCTGAGTCACATTAAGGCTTTAACACTGCGAGAAGCGGTTTGTTCTCAGTTCGTTCGATTTTCAGGCATTTCTCCTTCCATACAGCGCACGCTTCCACAAAGTGCAAACATATACAGGTCGGTGTGTCTGAGTCTTGTTTCTGCCTCTGTCACGCAGAAAGAAGCAGCGTCTTAACAAGTGATAGCTGCTGGGACACGTCTGATGGAGACGCAAAGACAAAGACACAAGGTTTGTGTGTAAGTGATAGAATAATTTAGCATCAGATACTTGGTGACATCGAAGCAAAGAAAGAAGATACAACCCAGATTTAATCCCCTCCACTAAGCTGTCTGTGTCACAGTATCATTGTTTGGTCATTGCTGCTGTTTGTTATCACATTACTCCATAAATGTTAACAAACTGCAGGATTATTTACCAAATATCTAAGAGTTTAAGTGCTGAAATGTTCAGACTGAAATCGTGTCCAGTGTGTGTCGCCTCTGTGGGATAGAAAAGGAAAACATCTGAATGCTCCAAGGCCATTTGTCTGACTGTTTGCTGGCTTCCTGTGTTCCTGCTAATGAGTTTAGATAATGGTCATTGTGCTCTAAGACATCTATCATGCCAAAGATTAAATTACACGATGATTGCTTTAATATACAGAAGATACTCATTGCAGGAATACTGCTGTTAAAACTGAAACAGATAGGCTGAGTTTCTTCAAATCAAGGCCAAAAACTCATTTATTTAGAGTTAATAACATAGACACACTAAAGCTACAATCGACATAAGTGTCCTTTACATTTAATCATTAAACTATATCTTGTGGTTAAAAAAATATTCTGAACCGTGCAGATCTCAGTTTTACCTTCATTATGTAACCTAAAACGACGAGCAAAACAAATACAGAGGTCAGTAGAAGGTCACAGTCGTACTAAAAGTTGTAAAAACTAATTAACAGCTCCACCTCTGACCTTTCTCGGCTTGTTTTTGACTTTCCTCTGGAATATTTTAATCTTTGTTTCCTGATATTTGGTGAACATAATGTCTCCAAAGTCATTTATTGTCAGCAAAAGGTCACAGCGTGAACTCACACGAAACAGTGAAGGTTATCTCACAGACATTGGCCGGACACACACCTCTGTTATGGTGCTGTTTAAGTGTGTTTGTCCATAAACAGCACTAGTAAAGGTCTAAGAACAGGTTAACTCAAAGTGAGTAAAAAAAAAAAAAAAGGTCACAGAAATTAACCAGGAAAGGAAGAGGTGTTGGTAGCACAAACGGCCACAAACGTTACTCCTGTCTGCATTAATATGTTTATGTACTTATTTATTGAAAAACATCAGCTGCATTTTGACTTGAGTTCATATTACTGTCCCGTTCAGATACACAAGAATTCATCCATTCCTTTTCATTTTTAAATCAATGTATTGTACTACTTTTACACAAACTTAGAAAATGTGTTTGTTTGTTTTTTTCACAGTCAAAGTCAGAACACTTTAGAGCAGCCCAGCAGCTAGCATGACCTCTCTTACTCCTACACACATGCCTTTACTTTGTCGTGTCCTGGAACAACCACAGACTTCCCATTCAGTGGTTCTGACTTTACCAGAATCAAATTTGAGGAACAGAATCCAGCACACAGTGAACCAAGGAGTTGATGAGCAGCTGAATCAACACATTGCTCCACACTAACTCTGTTGTATCAGCTAAAAGGCCAGGGAGAAATCTCTCCCGCTGACTGTCTCCTGGGTGTGTGTGTGTGTGTGTGTGTGTGTGTGTGTGTGTGTGTGTGTGTGTGTCAGTGTGTGTGTGTCTTCTCCACTTCAGATCTCACGGTACGGTACTCTGAGAACGTTTTTGCACCCCTTATATGTTGCTTTTGTTTTTGCTTTCTGTCACGGCAAGCAAATTTCAATTCAAAGACAAGCCGAGAAAGGACAAGATGCAGTTTCCAAATGAGGATTTCCTTTATCTAACCCAACCTGGACCTGAGTGAAAAAGTAATTGCACCCTTAACCTAATAACCTTTGCGGCAACAACTTCCGTCAAACATTTGTGATCAGTTCAAATGAGGCTATTCATTAAACCACATTTGAGAGTTTTATTTACATTTGATGGCATACTTTGGATTATTCTTTAGCTAAATAACCCAAGTAGGCTTAAACTTAAGAACACAAACTGATAGTTGGTTTGATATCCTTCAGGAATTGTATTTGAGAGTGAAATTGATGCTATCATCATTTACAACATGTTGTTTAAATCCCCAAGAGGAAACACAGGACCTGGCCTTCACGCTACCACCACCTTGTATAGATGATATTCTTTTCATAAATACTGTATTAGATTTTTCACGCACATGTTCCTAAAAGTTTTGCTTTTGTCTCAGCAGTTCTTGTGGAACATTAAGATGCTTTTTGCTATATGTGAAACAAGTCTTTGTGCTCATGGAATAATTGTGATAGGCTGGAAACTTCAAGATTATATCCATTTGTAAATAACTGAACAAAATAGGGATTAATCACAGATAAATTATGACTTTCAGTTGAAAGAAATCTGGTCTAATCTAAACATCTCCACCTGTCACCACTAGGGGGCAACGAACACTCTTCCGTTCCCTTCACATTTACAATCTGCTACGTTCATAAACGCAGAGTTTTCAGTGTGCCTTTTTTTATGTAAAGATGAAATATTACTGCCAGTAGAGTTCAGATTTCACATATTAAACATAATTCACTTTGTTACTGATGAATTATTAGGGTTTTTAGCGCTGCCTTTAACAACATGAATTTGTGATATTTCAGAATTCACATTTTGCTGCTTTGCCCAACAATTTAAGATTTGACAAAAAGCTGAATTGCGTTATTGTGACAGTAAACAACTTTATTTTTGTTAAAGAAGCCACTTAAACCACAAAAGAGTGAATTGACAGGAGCAACAATAACAATGAGAAGATAGTTTTATTCACTGGATACAATCTATAATTATAAATTTAAAATGAAAGATGAGTGCATGTCAAAAAACGAACAAAAGAAAAACAGTTAAAAAATGCAGGTCTGAGTTAGGTACTGGTTGAGAGGCCAGTTTAATTTTGAGAATTGTACAAGTGTCCTCTGTCTTACTAATGTGTCCTAAACAAAGATGCTAAGACAAGGTTTGACAGTAATTGGGCGTTGACCATAAATGCAACAGATGACTTTAGTTTGTACATTTATTCATTCCTGCCAACCTGATCATGTCAAACTGATGTGTTCGTTTGTGAACTGTTTTAAAATGAACTCCAAACTCATACTGAAAAGTGGGAAAAAATACAAATTAGTTCGTATACTTGTAACTTAGTTGATGCTGTACACATAAACCAAATTAAAAATATAGTAATCGCTACTCACATCTCATCTCCAATATTAGTGCAGAAAAATGACGTGTTTTGCAGTTTGTGGCTTACGTTCTGTTGATGGGAGATAAAAGTGCTGCCCTCAAGTGGAAAACTATGGTACTGCATGTAAGTGACTCAATGCTCAGCAGTATTATATATTATTATTATTATTAAATATTTGGGCAATGATGGCCATCATCCAATGACTGAATGTGGAAGGAAGATGTGCAGCAGGTAGAGAAAAGCCAGTATCATCTGTATAACCTGGTTAAACTGGAATTAGAAGTTTTTGTTTCAATTCTTTCCCTTGGTTCACTCTTTTACGATTGAGTCCAGGTCATCGTTGATGTCATCTTCACCTAAACGCAACAATTTTGCATATTACATCAGTTCTTAAGATTTTGTCAGTTTAATTTTTTTTTTTTTTTTTTTTGCCATATAAACATTAAGTCGCTGCTTACCAAGACAGTTCTGAATCGTCATGGATTTTGGCATCAGGAGAAAAATGAGGCCGAAAATCAAAAGGACCCCGAAGAATCCTCCGATCAAACATCCAACCAGGGTAGCATAGCTGGCACCATTATCTGCAGGCAGGTGTGAAGAAGTTTAGGCAGAATGATTTCGACTGATCACATCGCAATGTGTAATTTACACAATGTTTCCTGACTTCACCATAGACATGCAGGACAGCAGAGCAGTCTTCTGGATCATTTGACTGATGACAAATGACCAGCGTGTCATTGTCAGAGTATGAGGTTCCTTTGAGTGTCCAAATCGCCACCAGTTCACCTCCCTTCACTTCACAGCGCCCATACAAAGCCTGAGGCGACAGACACAGAAGAAAAAGCTCGTATTTGTAGAGATTAACATTTCAGTACGAGGTCAACGTCGTGACCATCTCACCTGGGGAATGTCCTCCACCTTGCCGTTGGGGCAGGTGAGGGTGTAGTTTCCATGGCTGCTGTAAAAAGTAAATGTGAGGCTTTTGGAGGCTTCAGGCACTCCACACCTGAACTCTGCAGGCTCGCCCACGGCCACTTTCACATCAATCGGAAGAGTCCGGTAGCCAGAGATCTTTTTTGAAGCTGAGGTGCTGGTAGAGTTAGCCAAGGAGGTGGTGGCGTCTTGTGCTGAGGCAGATGAAGATTAAAACAAAACAAGTACATCAAAAAAGGATGAAAGGATGCTTTTTTTCTTTCTTTAGAAACATGCATATACATCTGAAATGTAACTGCAGATTTGCATTAGAATTGGATATTTGTTTAAACTAAAAGTGTGTTTTTGAGGAGAAACGAGACGGGCACAAAGAAAAAATAAAATGCAAAATGAGGATTGGGTTTGAAAAAATAAAATAATTTACATTTCATTTTAAAGAATGACATGTAGAAGATTGATATCCATCTTAATAGTTTTCAAAAGGTGCTTTAAAGAGTTGAAGAGCTTCAAGTTTTTTGAGGTCTTTGTCATATTTAAGCTGGGACTCTGACTAGCTGAATTAAAAATAAAACATTTATTTCCAGTCCTAAGAAACATGTTGATAACATAAAATTAATAATAATGCCAATTTCAGGCATAAGAATAATTTTTGGCTTCATCGTGTAAAATATGTTGTCATAAAAAGAACCTCTTATTTACAGTCTAGTTGACACTTTATTCACTAAATGTAAGATACCGCTAACATTAATTTTAACCTGTAATAATGAAGATTCTCTGTGAATGATTGGCACCACGAGTCTTTAGACTGAAGAATGTAAAGTCACCTCTTTACGTCTGCTGCGGTGATAAGATTTACGCCTCAAATTCAACACACACAATGCAAAGCATTCAGTTTAGGCAGCTGCTAAACGCTTCTGTGACGTTCGTGTTGTTATTTACCTGAAGAAGGTGCAGAGATTTGAAGCACCGCCAGGAGCAGCCAGCAGAGCTGAGAAACTTTTCTCTTCTCTGCCATTTCTTCTGCTTGACTCAGTTAGTTTCTCTTATTCCATGCAGATTTTCTCTGGAAAGTCAGAAAAATGTACACGGCTCTTTTCGTGAAGGTTAAATAACCAACACAGCAATAAATTTCACATATGTTTGCCAAAATGCTGCAGCTGGACATTGTGACGACACATATCCGTTTTTAGACACTTCTGTCAACTCAAACTCTCCCTGGCAGAAACTTAAATGAACTGGGTTTTAAGTCAGTAAATTCCAAATTATTAAACTGAGATTGTAAATCATTAACCAGTATTAATTACATAAACTCATTTTATATAATTAACAACCACAAAGTTACTCTTGGTAGAACCATATTTAAAAACACATTCAGGCACTCATAATGTTACCTAAATGCTTTTGTTGAAGCAATGCTTTGTTACCTAAATGCTTTTGTTGTTTGGCCTGGCTTCATTCGTTCTACATTTACGCACAGATAAATTCTAGTTAAATACCAGATAAAGAAAGAGAACTCTGACCACACAAGCAATAGGAAGATCCTCCCCTAGATCTGAAGACAGCTTCCCTATTTACATACATAAAAAATAATCTATTTTTTTCTTGCTCAAACTGACCTCACAAATGCGCCGACACTGTCTGGGAACCGGCGCGCCTCACGTCTCCCTCTGCGCCTAAACTTCCTTGGTCTCTTCAATTGTCCCCAACAAGACAGGAACGTCAGACGACTGAGGCACCTGAAGGAATGTGGAAGAGTTCCTGACGAGCCAGGTAGATTTCTGAGAACAGCAAACAGGTCGAGCAGGAAAAGCGATGCAGTCAAAAAATGCTTAAGTTTTCTCTGCTCTCCATTTTCCTTTCTACGTTGCTCAGAAGTACATCACAAAACCTTTTGTTCTCTTGAGAAGGAAAATCAAAAAACCTTCCATGAAAAGCCTTTATGTTAGTGGCTACATGCACGTTTGCCATGAAAAGATTTCACTTTTATTTGCTTCCAACATCAACAATGCTACACCTAAACGCCTCCAGCGTACTTGTTCAGCAGGTTCATCATCCTGCTGCAGCCTGAAGGGAAGATAAAGTCATTTAACAATCAACATCACTAGACATTTGCCTAAACACCAAGCTCAGAGGCCTGTTGATGAAACCAAGCTGTCAACATGTGTGGCCCAATCAACTTTTAAAGGTTTTTACAACCCTTTTATTTTTTTTTAGTATTTCTCACTTATACTTCGATGTGTTTTATAGGGATTAATGAAGCTCAAGGACGGCAGCAAAGGGACCAAAACAGGGTTAGGTTGCGTAATATTCATCCAAAAAGAGGAATAGTGTGCCACAACTGCAAACGTACTAAGACATGGTCGACTAACTGAACGTGGAAGCATTAGTCAGAGATGTAGCCAAGACGACCGTGGTAACCCTGGAGGAGCTGCAGAGAGCCACAACTCAGGTGGAAACATCTTTTCACATGAGTAGAAGAGAAACAAGCTTCTCCCTAGGGAGCAGATGGTTGTCATGAATGGAAACACTGGAGGAAATATTTGTAGAAGCTACAAAAAATAAATGAATCACTTAGATCAGAGAGTATTCACTTGTTAGAATGGACCAGTCAAAGTCCAGAGACTTCAGCTAATTTCTGGGCTGCAGACAAGTCCAGCAGAGGGTAGGAGAAAACAGGTGAGCTTTGCACACCTCAGATCAGGTGTGATCAGTCTGCGAATCATGAGGAGTGTAAGCGATGAGTTCAGCGGTGGCTGGGAAAACTGAGAGACGAGGTCAAACTGTTCTAAAATCCCAATTAAACATCCTGAGGTTTGAGGTTGTAATGTCACAAAATAGGGGAAAGTGGCATATTGGCAGCCACTTTAAAACGGTTGAAGGAGAAAAACGAAAACTCTAAAAATACTCTGATTCAGTAGTGAAAGATGAAAGCTGGTTTTGGCTCCAGTCATCCATGATGAAACAGACCTCCTGTGTTCAAGATCCTGCTATGTAACTGAGAGAGATTATTACATCCCATACACCACACGAGTAAAAATAATGAAGAAAATTTGTTTTAGGGACTGAAGAATGAAACAAAACTCAAGTTTACTGTGTTGTTTTTCTTTCATTTTCTTTTAACCGGAGACTTAAGAAACTCCACCACCCTAAAAACATCAGCACCTCCCATTTTATCTGTATCAGCTCTTCAGCTATCTCTGAAGACATTCACCGACCTTCATTTTTTATTCTCCAATTTCATCTTAAGCATCAGATTCTGGTTCAAACTCATCATGTGATCAGGGACAAACAAACTCCTCCCTTGCTCTTCTGGCTGATTTACATAATGCTTACTGATCATGTTTGTGACAAACTTCCTCCTAAAAATTCTTCATATCTGTTTTTTTTTCTCTCTAGAAGTGCTGAGCAGCCATGGGTTGGACCCCGATCACTACACTTCCTTTGACAAATGAACTACCAACTCAGTTCCTTATTCTTGTAGAACATGATTCAAGTGCTGATACTTCTTCTGCTGCAGCAGGGTAAGAAAATATTTGTTTATTCTAAATATGAAATGCAATGCTCTATTTGAACATTTTTTACATTTGCAAGAGCAGCAAATCTCTTAAGGCTCATCTTAATGTTTGATTATTTCTGAGCTTACCAAGAATTTGTTCAAAACATTAATTCCTGGCTAAATATGTTAAATAAGGTCTGTAAATCAAGCACCAATGGTAGGAAACACAAACTGAAGAGGAGCTGCGTTTTCTGTTTGAGCCTCAATATGAACTGTTACCTTTTATTGCAACAGTGCACTGTTTCTATGGCGATGGGAGCTCTTCAGTTTCGTTGTTTCTGTCAAAGTTTCACTATTGGCTTAGAAACACTGAAAAAATGTTGTTTTTCTCATATCTAGAAATGTATCATCACTCATATCTGCCACTGCAAAATCAATGTTGATAAAATGACATTTTTTATTTAAATGCACTTCCTGTGTAAAGTGTTCCCACATGCAATGCTATTAATATCATGTTAAATTAGCATTATAATGATTTTTGGCTCAGAGGGGAGGAAATATTTAACAGACAAGTGAAATGAACTTCAAGCACAAAGCTGGGCTCATAAGGCTGGAAGTGTTTTTTTGTTTGTTTTGTTTTTCCTGCGATGCATTTATAGAGTTTAACCCTTTCATGCAGGAATTATGGTCCTTTGTGTAAGGATTTTTTTATTAAATTTTTTTATATTCTTAAGGCATAAAAAAGGTAGGGAAAAAAATTGTAAACATTTTTTTTATTATTATTATTATTATTATTTTATTTTATTCTTAGGTGATAAAATTGTAATTTTCTCCAAATACAAAGTTGTTATTTGAAAAATACATCAGTAGTTTTGTTCTTTAGGGGTTATCTGATGTCACAATATTTTTTTTTTCCAGCAAGAGTCGTCTACAGTAGAAGGAAGGACCGGGTCAGTTGGCATGCTTTTTTGTCTGTCGGCCATATTGGATTTAACAAAAATAATTTCTTGCATTTGCAGCTGATAGTTGATAGTGTATTTTGTGATGCACTAATGTCCACTTCAGTGATCTGTGTGTATTTCTAACATACAAATCCACAAGAAGCAGAAGAAAATGGCTTTTATATGGCTGTCCACTGAAGTGACCACTATGCATGAAAGGGGAAAGCAGCAACACCTGCTGCTAAATGCATTTACTGTTCATGAAAGACTCCAATGAAGCCATACCAAAAGCTATGACTTTATAAATTATTGCTATTGAAGGTTGTTCTGTTATATCATGGGGCGTATTATTTTTTTCAAGCCAATTAAGTTTCTTTTCCCCATGACTGTGTAAATGATTTAAAAACGGTCCTCACAAGTTTTATTTTGTGTTTTTACTAGCAGAGAAAGTGAGTGCTGCCTGGTCGGTGACCTTTGAGAACCCGGATATTTGTGCTTTGAGGGGGTCTTCGGTGGAGTTCAGGTGTTCGTACAGCTACCCAGACGAGGAATCCGTCAGACAGACCGCATGGGACAAAGGAAAGATTCAAAATGGCATCTTGGAACGCGTCAGGCTTTCAGACCTTCCGTCATATAATGGTCGATTTGAGTATCAAGGTGATCATGCACACAACTGCAGCCTGGTTTTACGTGACCTTCAGGAGAACGACACTGGATATTACTTCTTCTGGTTTGACACAGACAAGTTTGGACGGCGCAGTAAGAAGTCAGTGTATCTCTCTGTCACAGGTAAAACAGCTTTACATTCACAGGGTTCTGTTTTTCACGCTGAGTGTTTTTTGTGGTGTAAGTCTTGTCTTTGCTTGATCTCCAGGGCTGGAAGCTAGCGTACGCTCCAACAGAGTGAGACTCGGAGACAGTGTGACCCTTGACTGTCGGACAGAGTGCCAAACCACCAAAATAATCTGGTTCAAAGACGGACGTCCGGTGGCAGAACCAACATTTCAGGCTCAGATTACAGATACCGGAAACTATTCATGTGCTTTTGAGGGAATAGAATCCTCACAATCAAGTCCTGTGGCTCTGGATGTTTGGTGTAAGTACTATGATGATGCTAAGTCAAGATGAATAAATTTGATGTTAGTCACTGATATTCTGCTTATTATCAGCCTCACATGCATTGTATTTGGTCAGTAGAAATCAAATTTATTGATAGGAGCGCTTTGCATGTTGCAACATAATAATCACAAACCTCTATGCGTTTTATTCAGATTTCATGCGACAGAGCAAAGACCAAAGATTACAAAGAAAATGTGAGGAAAAACTGTGGTGCATTCCCATTTAGACCCCTTTACTCTGATACCCTTAAGTTGGTAAACAAAGTTTGCGCTTATGTCATTTGACCTCAGACCTTAAAGCTTTTCTGTGAAGGCCTCAGTGGTTTGTTGGTGAACGTTAGTGAACAAAGTCCATCAAGAAGACCAAGAGACACAGCAGACAGGTCAAGGAGAAAAATGTAACAATGTTTAAAAATGAATCATTGAAAAACATCCAAAGCTTTAAACATCTAATCTCAGGTGGTGCAATCGGTCTGCAGGGCAATCATTTGTTGTCCATCACAAATGTAGAAGAATACTAAAAAGATATATATGCACTGTCCGTAACTCTGAACACAGCTTAGCCATGCTGCCTGCAGCAAGGTAGTAGCAGCAGCATGCTGTGGGGATATTTTGGAAGCTGGTAAGAGTTGATAGAAAAATCAACTCTTACTAGAGTTGATTTTAAAACTAGGTTTTATTCCACAATCGTGGAGGCTTTGAAAGATCTGCAAATGGGGTGAAAGTTTTCATTTTCCTCCCACTTCAACCATAAGCTGCTTTGTCTGTCACAGAAAAAAATAAAACAAAATGAGGCTTGTAGTTGAAATGTGATAAAATGTAAAAGACAAATTCAAATAGTTTGACTACTTCTGCATGACACTCTGTATGTACTACCAACCTATTTTTACTGGAATCGTGGTTGTGTTTTTTTCTCCAGATCCTCCTCTGAACGTATCCGTTGAGGTGAACCGCTCTGACCCTCTGCTGGTCGGCAGCAGCGTGACTTTGACCTGCAGAGGTTCTGCCCGCCCTGCTGCGATTACTTACACCTGGTGGTACAGCAGTGATGTCTCCAACTCCAGCACTGAGCTCCCGGTGGGCTCAGGGCAGGTGTTGAGCATTTCCTCCGTTGAGCTGACCCACACTGGGACGTATGTCTGCCAGGCCGAGAACCGTGTGGGCCAGAGCCGTTCAGCTCAGCTGCTGCTGACGGTGGAAGAAATGGGTAGGAATCCTGGAGGAACGGAAGAACTCGCATTGTTGAAGCTTTAATTCATTCATGTTAATTTGAACTTCAGAGCTTCAGAGATACTGGAGGTACTTTTAATTATTTGTAATGGTTTATTCCTTGTTTTTTTCCCCCAGTCCATCCTTTAATTGTCCTTGGAATTGGAATTAAAGTGATTATTCTGCTTGTGCTGCCACCGATTCTCATCTGGGTCTGGTAGGTAACGCAGAACATCACTTTGAGTTGGCTCTGGTTGCTTTGCTGAATTGGGATATCAGGAAATAAACTCTGTTCATAGAAGCTTCTGTTTTCTTGTTAAAGGAAGTGTCGGTCTCGTTCTGATGCAAAGAATGAAGAGGTGAGAAGAGGAACAGGTTTTTGGAAAAAAATAAAACAGGAAATGATACCAGAGTCATGTGACGCCTAATCTAGTCTTCTTTATTCCTCAGAATACCAGCAATGACTATGAAAATGTGATTTTTGGATGAAAGAACAACTGCTCTGAAATCCCTAGCATGAGAAAGGAACCAAAGGAAAGGAATCAAAGTAACTTTGCACTGAAAAGTCTCAACACGTGGAGAGAAAATGCTTCCTGATGCTTAGCTAAGCTGCATGTCAATGTCCATTTTCCTTTTCCTGTGCAACATTCAATGGATTCTGAACGTAGTACGGATATTTGTTATTTCAAACCATACTGATGTTTTTCATACAGGTTGGTTATTTGTATGCTAAATTCAAATATTCGTTTATGTTGCAGTCATTGGTAGAAACGGTTCCGTTTTAAGCTACGCAGCACTGACCCCTTGAGTTTGAATTAATGTCTATAGATCCCAGCAAACATAAAAATGTTTCGTCACTTTGAAAATTATCACGAGTTCTCCATGGAAATATTTATGAAATTTGTCCAGTGGTCTGGATTAGATCCAATAAGGTTCACCTTTTTTCGTAGTTTGTTTTTAATGGTAACTGAAAATTTCTAGCTTCATAAATGTGCGGTTTTTAATGCACATAACTTTCACACCTTTAATTTTTCTTATTTTTAATTTATTTGACATGTTGTACTTTCCATAATGTGCACACTGGATCGCAAAGTTTAAAATGTGAATTTACTGCATGGGAAAGAGGGAAATGAAAAAACAAAGACAATGTAACTTAATTCACACAAAAAAAGAGAGCACTTTACAGGTTGAAAAGGCCTTTCCTAAAAATAAACTGAGGCTAAAATCTCCAACTAGCTGAAAGGGCAGGAAGCAGAATCACTGTCCTCCTGGTGGTCATCCTCGCCCCACTCTTCTTCAGGCCCTGCTCAGTATCTGAAACCTAAAGTTTACTACAAATATAGAAATAAATCTGACTGAGGTTTTTTTTTATGTGTTTTTTATGTGTTTGTGATAACCGTGTTTTCTGTTTTTCAGTAAAAGCCTCTTCAGGAAATTGAAAATAGCATTCTTATACAAGTCATGTTGTTTGTGGTCTGCATCTGTAATGATCTGTGGAGGACTTCCTGTATTTAAATTCACATCTGTGTTTTGCAACACTTCCTTCACAATACATAGATCACTGGGAGGATTAAAACTGCTTCTATTAAGAAATAAATACAACAAATGTGTTTATTTGTTTTTATATAAGCTATGAACATCCACTGACAAAAAAAAACGATTAGCACCCATATTGTAAAACACAGAAATTATTCAGTCTTTGAGGATCTAGCAGTAAAAAATAGCGAAACCAAATGTACAACTGGTCCAACCTGACATCAATTTATAAGAAATCATTTCAATTTAGGCCTGTTTATGAAATATTTAGGATTTCCTAAATATATTTTTGAACTGAACAAGAGCACCGCGCTCCCAACACACTTACAATTTTAGACTTTGAATATATTTAGCCATGTAGTAACATTTAAAATGCTTGGTCCATTTAAATGTAGAGCACAGTAAAGGTTTGCAGGATACTACGACAAATATCTTTATAAAAGGTTCATGATTAAACTTGATCATGGGCAAGAAATTGCTAGGAAGTAGAGAAAGAAAAAGTAATGCTAATAACGATTATGAGACTCGTATATTTTACACGTCTGGCAGCGACTGGAGGTCCATCAGTAAAATTAACTCTCTTCTTCCCACAGAAACAGAACGTCAACTTCCCAAGAAACTAGACTTAAAAAACATCACAAATGAATTTGCTGCAAGTAAGATCAGGCACATGGCATGTTGAGCTCAAATATCAACATGTCAAACCAGCAGGCATCCCAAACACAAACAATTTGCTCCTTCAAGTATGTTTTTATGATACGCCGAAACAGCCTCAATGCAAAACATAAAAAACAAATCATAAAAGAAATATCTATTCATGTGAAAATCTAAATATATAGATATGTAAAAAAACAAACAAACAAACAAACAAACAAACAAACAAACAAACAAACAAACAACCCATATAAATAAATATGCAGTATAGTTATTTTCAAAATGAAATTAGATTTCCACATCTAGGTACTTCTAATAACTCATGTAGACCTTTAAAATACAGATAAAGTCTAGGTCCGGACAACTTATTTAATCATTAAAAGGACAATTTGACAATTGTTTACAGTCACCTAGTTCATGTAAAATCCGGGAAGGGATAACACTTGGACTGGGTAAAATATGTATATTTGTTGAATATAATATCTATTTTAAGCTTTGTTTAAATTTCCCAATTGTATTTACTCCTTCAGTTTTTAGGTGGAATTGTGGCACTTTTAGCCCTCTGTAGAGGGAACGTCATTTAGGGTCCTATTGCTGAACTGTAATGATCTGAATCAGGTGTGTTAAAGCAGAGACACTTCTAAAACAAGCTAGGCAGCGCGCTTTGTGGGGGGTTTACAGGGCAGGATGACCCGACATCACATGCATCCATTAGGTCTCAACATTGTGTTGTTGTGTTACCCAACATGTGTGTTGGCACACGTAATCAAAGCAGTTCTGTCACTCTGTCGCAGTTTTCCCAGTGAGGACATATGACTGTCGTCTGGCTGTCTTCTTTTTCCTGAAAGCAGAACAAACACAGATTTATAGTGGAAGTGTAACTTTTCTTTTCTTTTTGTTAAGCTAATAGATTGTTTATGCACATAACACAGACCCTGCAACTCTTTTGGTCTACTACGCATAGCTTTGGATACGCCGCACTTTTACAAAAGTTGATTTGTTTTCTTCATCCAGACAAGAACTACAACCACACTGTCTATAAATATGACTGTGCTATGCCTGATGCTTATTGGACGCAGCCGTCCCGGTCTTGTCTATATGAATTATTGATTGTGAAAGGAGCAAATGCTTCACTCACCTCATCATCAAAAAGGCAGCTAAAGCAGCAACAGCCAGCAGGACCCCGATGGTTACTCCAATCACCACCACTGTACTTCCTGAAGAGTCAGATAGATTTGCCCCTGCAAAGAGCAGAAGGTTACAGAAAACTCAATGCATACATACACAGAGGCTTACCGAAATATTCATACCATCTGAAGCTCTAATATCTTGTCACATTATAATACAATGTTTTATTGAGAATCTTAAGAGTTAGACCAACAAATAATAGCAACAAATAATAATTGTGAAGTGGAAGAAGAATGATAGATAGTTGCATGAGTTTCCAAATTTTGCCACAGCTTATCACTTTTATTTAGCTCTGGACTTTGACTAGGCCACTCTAACTCAATCTAAACTATTCCGTTGCAGCTCTGGCTGTATATTTAGGATCATTGTCCTGCTGAAGGCTCAATCTTTCCCTGAGTCTTAAGTACTTTACAGCATCTAACAGCTTTTCTTCTAATATCACTCCATTCTGATCATCTTTCCTGAAGAAAAGCACCTCCATAGCACGATGCTGCTAACTCTCTATAACCCAGTAGGAACAGGGTGTCAAAGTGTTTCATCATTTCTAAGATTTATGTTTGTAAAAAAACATCCACAATCTCTTTTCACGTCAGAAATTACTGTACTTTGTGTTAACTGGCCACATGAGATCTCACTAAAATATATTGAAATGTGTAGTTGAACTATAATAAATACTTTTTGTCACAATCCGTGTTTCTGTGTTTATTTTTGAGTTTTTTCCTGTGTAGTCCTGTTCCTGTGAGTCTCAGTCCTGTCCTCCCCGTTGATTGCTCCGCAGGTGTGTCTCTTTCCCCTGATTACCCCGTGTGTATTTAAACCCACCTGTTGTCTGTGTTCCTCGTCGGGTCCTTGTCTATGTTTGTCGTCTAAGCGCTCCAGTTGAACTGTGAAGTCCTGGATAGAGTTTGCGCCTATTTCCAGTCCTGCTATCAGTTGCTACCGGTGTTTAGCTGTGTGCTAGTTTCTCCGCCGTGCTGCCTGTTCTTGGACTGTTCTGAGCTTTATTATTAAATTCATCATCATCATCACCAAAACCTGGGTCTCTGCATCTATCCTCACCACCACCCACAACCAGTTCCTGACAGAAGGACCCCGACCTCTGACAGAAGGACCCGACCTCTGACAGAAGGACCCGACCTCTGACAGAAGGACCCCGACCTCTGACAGAAGGACCCCGACCTCTGTCAGGAAGTGGTTGTGGGTGGTGGTGAGGATAGACGCAGAGACCCAGGTTTCGGTGATGATGATGATGAATTTAATAATAAAGCTCAGAACAGTCCAAGAACAGGCAGCACGGCGGAGAAACTAGCACACAGCTAAACACCGGTAGCAACTGATAGCAGGACTGGAAATAGGCGCAAACTCTATCCAGGTCTTCACAGTTCAACTGGAGCGCTTAGACGACAAACCTAGACAAGGACCCGACGAGGAACACAGACAACAGGTGGGTTTAAATACACACGGGGTAAACAGGGGAATGAGACACGCCTGGGGAGCAATCAACGGGGAGGACAGGACTGAGACTCACAGGAACAGGACTACACAGGAAAAAACTCAAAAATAAACACACAGAAACACGGATCGTGACACTTTTGAGATGTATTGTAAACAATGTTGCACTACTATGTTGCAGCCTCATTGCCAACAATACTTGGCTGTATTTGGTTGATTACGGTGTAAAGAGTTCATTTTGACATGCAGCAAATGATATCAACAACACCTGAATCATCAGTGCTGTGACTATGTGGTATCCAAAGATAAAACACATTTTCAAGGATCCTGTACTCTGAATCTTGTACTCATAACTGAGAACTTAAAACAATCCCTTGAATGTGAGCTTGAGTCTCTGCATTGACCTACCACTGGAGCTGGTCAGAGTCACGCTGGCTTTCTCAAAGCCGTATCTGTTGCGTGCCACACAGCAGTGCTGCCCATAGTCCTTCGTGGTGATGTTGACACTGGTGAGTTTTTGGGCTCTTCCTGTTGATGTAGCCTGGGTGGATCTTCCTCGATGAAAGCTTAAGTCTGCTGCTGGGAGACAAGCTACACCCTGGTACCAGACGTAGGTGCGGACCGGTGGGTTGGCCTCACTGCTGCAGGTCAGAGTCACAGGATGATCCTTCTCTGCTCCCCAGCTGGAGATCATTATGTTTCTAGGCGGGTCTGCAGGAAGATGGCATCAAAGTTCATTAGCTTCAAATATTACAAGATTTAAAGGACATGAAAAGTGAATCAAGCAGTGGACAGATGCAGACATATCTTTAAACATGTTTTCAGTATAATTGAAGATGATGTAGTTTGGTTTCAGAGTTACATTTCACTTACATTGCACATCGATTTCCAGAACATTTGAGCGTTGAGTTTTGTCTCCAGTCTGGATTTGGCAGTAGTAGCTGCCAGATTGACCTGATGTAACTTTGGGGGTACTCCACACCGGTCCAGCACCTACCAACATGGCTCCTTTGGTACTGTACCACGTGAAGCGGCTTTGTGAAGTGGCAGCTGGGCTGCAACAGGCCAGGTTTAAGCCTGTCCCCTCCAGGATGACTCGGGATGGACCCACCGAGACCGCAACTGCAGTGGAGGAACCTGCAGCGACAAAAAGGGAGAGAAAAGGAACCTGAATGAAGAACTTAATTTTTCAGGGCCTTACCTATATAACTCTAAAACTATCCAGCAAATTTAATAAATGACTAGATAGAATCCTAAACAATGAAGGGAGACTTGACTGAATTTAATGAATTCTGTAGTTTCTGTGGACAGAACAAGCAGAAAGAAATAATTACCACCTTCCTTCAACATTTAAACTTAGCTAAAGTTAACACAGCTTAGCTAAAAAGGTGTTGCAGGTTCTCACCTGGATGTAAACAAAGCAAATTAAAATCATAATACTAAATCTGTAGAAAGCAAACATTAGTGAAGTTACTTTCTGTTTAAGCCTCTAAATAGTTACTTTAAAGTTGAGTTTATTTTTGATTTGTGTTAATTTAA